AAATTATGTCGGTAGATAATATGTGAGTGTAATGTCGCTAGATGCAGGTCGCTTGCAACCAGCCTATCTGGAAGTCACGTCCTATAGCTCATATGACGATAATAATGTGTGATATAAGCTCGATAGCTTGTATCAAAGTTCTATGTTTAATAGTAGCCAAGTTTAACATGTAGCCATCACTTAAACTAGTCGTAAAATGTAAAATATTGACATTTACTACGAGAACACTGTAGCCGCGTAGTCACATAGTCGCGTAGCCGCGTAGCCTCGTAGCCGCGTAGTAGCGTGGTATAATTATGTCGGCTACGCCGTAGCACGAAAGATATTACAAATTCCAACGTGTTCCTGCTCTTTTATTTAACGCAATGTCTTTATCATAAGCATGTTGAACGTAGAGTGAAGTGTAAGAAAATATAAGAAAGAAAAAACTCACCCAACGTTATTAAATGTTGTTAAATAGTAATTAAGTAATAATTAAGTAAAACATACCATCAGGCTTTTTGACCCTGAAGGTGTAGGCAAAGCAGGTTATGGCACTTAATGCCACTGTACAATGTAACACCCTCTTTTCACTATTTATATTATGAGTCTCATGTAATAGGGGTCAGCCTATTGCCATATACCGGGCACAAGTCCAGACACCGTGCTACTACTGAGAATTTTAAAAAAGCCCCAGTAGCACTTTACCCGACCTGGGAATCGAACCCGAGGCCCCTTACCCGGCAGTCGCACTTGCGACCACTGGAAGCAGGCGATAATAATTAAGTACTTTTCTATAAACAAAAAGAAAAATATCAAATATGTTGTAACATAACAAGCTTATTATGAAAAACATTAAAAAACAAGTGAAGATAAAATCATAATCTATAAGCATTACTCGTTGAAATTATCCGAACGGTATTTTAACTGCTTTTAACCTTTTCCATGATCTCACCCACGCCGGTACCTAGTAAACAAAGAAAAGAATTAAAAGGAAAATATTTGGCAAAAATAATGACGTAAACCGTTCTTATTAAGGATTTGAGTGGCAGAATTAGAACTTTGGGGTTAAACCCATCCTATTTTCGGCATCCACTGCCATTAAATGTTGATATTTAAGATTATTTTTTATTTACATAATTACTTAACGAAAAAACTTATGCCTTGATGTTTATAAGATTTACTTTAAGTCTAACGACTAGACTAGACGACTGAAAGGTTAATTTGTGTAAGGCTATGTCGGTGGTAAAACATAATGAAGCCGAAAAACTAGGATCTAAAATTTCTTTTTAAAATATGCTACTTCTTATCGTTTTTAATAAAGGCCAGCTGTTGCCCGCGACTTCGTCCGCGTAACTTCTCAGAGTAGTTAGTTAGGAAATGCTGGCCCTCATCTAGTAATTTTAAGATTGACGGGTAAAAGTAGTGGTGTCATGTAACCTATTTGTAGAAATAAATATCATTTCAATTCATCTCATGTCAGGGTGTTACCACGTGATACCACGGCCTCACAGGAAACCGACGTGAAACAACGCTTGCGTTGTGTTTTGTCGTGTGAGTGAGATTACCAGAGGCCCAATTAACCAATTAACCAATTCCAATTCCCCCTGAATCCTAATTCCTAATCCGCAAAAGCCCGGTAACGCAGTTGTATCGCCTCTGGTGTTTCAGGTGTCCATGGACGGCGCCAAATGCTTACCATCAGATGATCCGTCTGCTCGTTTGCCGGTTTATTCCATAGACAAACAATATTAGGTTACATTTGTTACAAACCTTAATCCAACATTGGTTCTTTAGCTGGTGAAAATTCCAGAAGTAGATTGCAAAGTGTTGATGAGCCTACAGTAAGGAGTTCAGTTTCAGGCGAGTCCCCTAACAGTTGCATTAGAGGTTTCCATACGTTCCGGGTATCCATGGGCGGCGCTGAATGCTTACCATCAGGTGATCCGTCTGCTCGTTTGCCGGCTTGTCCCGTAAACAAAAAAAAATACCTGCGGGAAGGGAAGTGATGGCGACAAATGTGTCCTACTCTACGGTCACCACTTCACCAGACAAACACTAGACAATCCTAGGCAAATGTGAAACTACATCACTCATACTGCTTATTTAGGCTCATATTTACTCATACACTATCTAAACAAATACCTAGAACAGGGATGGCGAACCTTTACACATTGACGTGCCAATTACTTTCAAGAAATATGTATTGAGCTCATAAATGTGCCATCAAATTAATTCTACTAAGCAGTTGCAATAAAGTTTACAGCAGGCCTGATGGTAAACTATAATAGGGTAGATGCCTAATTTTTATTTTAATGTCCGTCTGGTAGATTATTTTAAATCATTGGACACGTATTTTTTATTTTCTTACAGAAACGAATACTTCCGACGATATATTGGTTTGAAATGTCGCGTGACGTCGTCGTAGAAATGACGTTTTAGCCCCAACTCCTAAACTTTGATTCGTTTTATCTACGTATTATTTTATTATACAACAAAAAAAATACGTGTCTAATATTTTTTCATTACCTAACTGACGGACTAATTAGATTTTTAATTTTCATACCATGTCATCATCCCTATTGTGTCTTAAATAACGGACGAAATAGATTTATAATTTCCCCGTCATCATCCCAATTCTCACAAACGCGTACCAATAATTCACCATCTCTGGCGTAGAACAAACATTGAATATAAACCTTGTTAAACAAACTTCACATACAACACACTACACTACAACTGTACTAGATATAAATCAAATTATACTCCACTTCCATTAGTCATAGAAACAATTTACAACTAACATGTTACAAGTCTGCCTGTTAGCCTGAGTAATACTGATATTTACTCAGTAATACTCATATTTACTCAGTAAGCTAAGCCCAGTAAGCTAAAACTTAGCCGCGTCATTCGTTAGTCAGCTTAGCGTCACACTAGTCCATTATAAAATAGAGCTCTGAGCTGCCCCACTATAAGGTACTGTGTAGACAAGGAACTTTTGACCAACAAAATGAATTTAGAGATTTTGAAAATTACAATGTACAGACAACTTGACTGAACTGTCATTGTCAGCCAGATCGTGGACCTGGCCATAATTCCGTGTATATCCTTCGGTGGGTCGTCTGCTTGTAGTTTTAGCTGTTGTACATCAATCGGGTTCAAACTTAATTCAACTGCATCAGAGGATAATTTTTGCCAATAAAGATATAGATACCTTAAACTACATTACATGGAATGCCACACGAAAAAGAAAATACAGTTATAAGTCATCTAATGCAGTTGGATCAAATCATGCCTAATGATCGTGAAGTTAAAGTCCCTCGTGTGTCCAAGCCCTTAAGCTAAGTTCTCACGCTGAGCAGGAATTCACTTTACTTCGCGTTGCCGCATAATGCAACGATTTCTTTTTGTCTTTTGAAAAGCTTTTAAAGCAGTGATAGATATTTAAATGACTTATATTTTATGTATAACGAATTTATGACCCTTATGTGGTGAAAACAGATTACCGGGGTTAGTACTAGTTTGTTTTACGGAGAGAACGAAAAGAGACCGCGTTCGACGCTCTGATTGGCCGGCTCCAGTGAACCATCCAATCATAGTGCGAAACGCGGTTTCGTTTCGATCTCGTTGACGTAAAATAAGCTAGTACTAAGCCCGAAGCCCGCTGAACACATTGGTTTCACCCCTGTTCATCCTGCGGGTCTCCAGTCGACCACTCATTAGGCTGAGACCGATTATAAGCAGTGTTCACTGATAAACCTGAACTGTGACCTCCAAACCAATTTTAATCCTAGCGTAAAAAGTTGCTGGGACTACGGCTCGAAGTGCAGGAGTAGGAACGGGGTGGTTTTTAGTCAGTAAGAGTCTGACAATCCCTCCCGCCTCACCCAGGCGGGAGAAGGCATTCGATGATTTTACCCTTAAAAAAAGTCTTAGTCCGAGTAATATTATAAATTCAAAAGTTTGTACAGATGTTTGTTTGTTTGTTTGTATGTTACTCTTTCACATCAAAATACATCAAGATGAATTTAGGAACAGGGGTAGATTTTTTTCAGACGGATCACCTGATGGTAAGCGATGGTCTGAAGTAATGAAGATAAAATACATAGGGTGCTTTTAATCCTTCAGGACCGCTGACAGAAACTATAATAGTTCAAAATAAATTCTTACTGCACGTTAAGATACATTCCCTTTTGTTTCACACTGTTAACGCACACGTTAACACGCACGCACATGCAGACACACATGCATGCATCTCAAGCAGAGGGGAGCGGGCGGCGTGGCGGGGCAGCGACGGCTCGCGCGCCCTCCATACACACCTGACGACAACGCGAGCAAGAACGGACGGGATTGCGAATTTAACTTGTACTAATAGCCTACTCAAGAAAACCTATTAAACCAAGAAATACAGTCCACTCTTTTATTCCATCTGGGCCTATCTATGGTCCTTCGAAGTAATTAGTCGAGTTAAAAGCAAAAACGTCTCGCGATCGCAAGCCACGCCACCACAAAAGCGGCCGGAAATCAGCTGGAGGTCAAATAGAAGGCGTCGCATCAACGAATTCAACCTACCAGCATCTGGAAGCAGAGCTACATCACAGCAACAAGCAGTGCTGGCCACATCATCAGTCGCTAAGGACGAACAAAGGGTTTGGTAGCAGCGGTTTCGTGAGTTCGACCAATTCATTCCTTTAAAATCATTCAAAATCATCTCATATTCAGTGAACTTGCTTAATTGCCATCTATTTCCAATTCCAAACATCAATTCAGCTATCATTAGTCCATATTTACACTCAATTTTTCACAATTATTGCATCAGATTTTTTTCTCACCTACCCTACACTTTTTTTCTCAATTTTCTTGTAGTTGTTTTTTAAAAAAGAAGTTTGATCCCATCATCAATTGTTACTTTTAATAATTGCATCGCTTTCTAATACATTTATTTTTCCCCAACAGCATACATCACCTTGTTCTCAGCGTAACGAGTTGACGCCGCGTTCTTTGAGGGTAATCTGGTAAGGTTACGTGATCGTCGCGCGGTCCATGCCACACCCCCAATCAAATTTAAGTATTCATTTAATTTAAGTTCGTTACTTTTATCAAATTTCAGTAATAATGACTGACCCTAAATCAGCTCAAACTTTAAATAATCCCAACGAATGTGACATTCCTCACCTCAATACATACAAAAAGAGGAGATCCAGTCATAAAGGCAAGGTCACGGTTTTTAAAAATTATCTCGAGTCATTAACATCCAAAAAGCCATTGTCTGATTTAGATATTATTCAATTACGCAATCGACTAGAGTCCTACAAGTATCTCGCAAACGAGTTCGATAAAAATCAAACCCTCATCGACGACATTACTGGGGTTTCAGATGAACAGCTGAGGGAGCGGGAGCAATTTGAAATGGATTATCAATCTCAACTTGCACTCGGCATCCATCTGCTGCGAGAAAATGAAACTGCTGGCGTCGACGGGTCTGTACCAACTCCAAGTGAGGGTAACACAACCAAAGCATTTATTAAATTACCCACCATTGACCTTCCACACTTCTCAGGAGATTATCACAATTGGCTCGAATACAGGGACACTTTTGAATCACTGATACACAACAACAAATCAATAGATAGTATTCAGAAGTTTCATTATTTGCGTGCATCTCTGCAAGGTGAAGCTTCCGATGTTATTAAATCGTTAGAAATGTCATCAAACAATTACAGGGTAGCTTGGGAACTGATCACAGAAAGATATAATAACACACATCAGCTGATATACAATCATCTTCACGCATTATTCAACATTCAAATCATTGAAAAAGAATCAGCAACATCACTCAGACACTTACTAGATACAGTAAATAAAAATCTCAGAGCTCTTAATACACTAGGCGAACCCACAGTAGATTCAATGTTGATTTATCTTATTACCTCCAAATTAGATATCACAACACTCAGATATTGGAAAGAATCAATCAATAACGACACAGTAGAAAAGCCCACACTTCAAAATCTAAAGACATATCTCAGTAATCGTTTCATGCTTTTACAAAATCTCGAAGACACAAAAACCACACAACAAACCGATTCAAAATCGCATTCATTAAAATCAGATGCTAAAGATAAACAATCTCGCATTTCTTGTCCCCTATGTAAAGGTCATCATTTTCTATTCGGTTGTTCACAATTCAAACAAATGACCGTGGAAAAGAGAATAGAGAAAGTTTCCAAGTTTTCCAACTTCTGTGCTAACTGTTTGCATAACGGTCATGAAACAAAGTCATGCCGTGGAGGAGCATGTAAATATTGTCAACAGAAACACAACACAATGCTACACATACATAAGGGACCGACCAAAGACACTGTGCACACCACACTCGCTAGTAACAGTAGCTCACAATCACAACACGCATCAGTATTACTTTCCACTGCCTTAGTGCATGTCATCGCTGGTGATGGAACACCACACTTAGCCAGGGTTTTGCTGGACAGTGGAAGTACCTCCTGTTACATTACAAACAGTCTGAGTAAAAAGCTTAATCTTACATTCGAACCCATACACGGCACAGTTTCAGGCATAAATCAGCAGCAAACAAACATTTTTTATCGCACAAAAATTCAGATAAAATCATTACATGGTTCATTCACAACTAACTTATCATGTTTGGTACTTGATACAATAGCACAGTCATTACCTTACATGCGCATCAATACACAAGGTTTGAACATACCTAAACATTTAAAACTAGCCGACCCTCAGTTCTATGAACCCGCAGCAGTTGACATATTGCTAGGTGCAGACATATTTTGGCAAATAATTAGCAGCGGTCACATTCGATTAGGCAAAAACCAGCCTACTTTACAAGAAACAGAATTAGGCTGGCTAGTTTCAGGTTGCACAACAAACACCAACAAGCAAGCAAACAGTTGTTTTTTCAATAACAACAACTCAGATCAGTTATCACGCTTCTGGGAGCTAGATAGTTTAACTAATACACAAGTAGACGATCCTTCCGACTCAGATGCATGCGAGATAATTTTCACTCAAACAACTACAAGACAAAGTGATGGTAGATTCGTTGTCACTATTCCATTTAAAAAGTCACCTGATTGTTTAGGTGACTCCTATTTTCAAGCAAAAAGACGGTTTTATTCCATAGAAAACCGCATGAATTCAAATCCCACATACAAACAACAGTACTCAAACTTCATAACAGAGTACATACAGCTAGGTCACATGTCTTTAAACAAACACTCACATCAAAATACATACATTAAATCAGAACATAAAACATCAAACCTACAGTCAGGTACAAGCACGAACACAAACACACAGCACTCACCAGTATACTACCTTCCACATCACGGTATTGTACGCGAGACCAGCACCACTACAAAATTCAGAGTAGTATTTGATGGTTCCGCAAAGACATCCTCAAAACTATCACTCAACGACATTCAGTTAGTAGGACCTGTCGTCCAAGACGATCTTGTTTCTATACTCATACGATTTCGACAACATAAGTTTATAATATCATCAGATATTGAGAAAATGTTTCGCCAGGTGATGCTGATGGAGCATCAGCGCCCAACACAACAAATCATATGGCGATACAATCCTACGGAACCTCTGCAAACATATACGCTCAACACTGTCACATATGGCACGGCATCGGCGCCGTATTTAGCAACACGCTGCATAAAACAAATAGGCTTAGATTGTAAAAACACACAGAATCATTCAGACAGCTATGATCACAAAATTGTCTCCGAGGTCATCTTGCATGATTTTTATTGTGATGATCTTTTGACAGGAACCGATGATGAGTCATTACTCTTTGAAATCGCCAAAGGTGTATTTCTTGAATTAAAAAAATATCAATTTCCACTAAGAAAATGGCAGTCTAATTGTCAAACTGTTCTACAACATCTGGGTTTCAATGATTCAAAAGACACAACATTCAATCTGAGCTCAAATGATCCATCTAAAACACTAGGCATTTATTGGAACATTAACAAAGACACAATTTCATACACAGTACATTCAGAATTTGTATCACAAAAACAAATCACAAAACGCACAATCTTATCCACCATAGGTCATATTTTCGACCCACTGGGACTTATTAGCCCTTGCATACTCGAAGCTAAGCTAATTATGCAACAGATGTGGACACACAACGTCAGCTGGGACGATGAAATACCGGTTTCAATACAACAACAATGGGCAAAGTTCGTAGAATCGTTATCTTTTATAAATCATTTATCTATTCCTCGGCGAGCATTTAATGACTCATCGCGCGATTACATTGAACTGCATATTTTTTGCGACGCCTCACAACAGGCATACGGTGCATGCGCATATATACGTACTTATACATCAGATGGCAGTATCAGTGTTCAACTGTTAGTTGCCAAGGGACGGGTGGCTCCTTTAAAAGCACTTACCATACCGCGACTTGAATTATGTGCCGCGTTTACCGGTGTTAATTTAAGTAATAAGATATTGAACTCCGTTCGCAACAAAAATTGTAAGTGTTATTATTGGAGTGACTCAATGATTGTTTTGTCTTGGATAAACTCACCTACACATAAATTACAAACATTCGTAAAACACAAAGTCACGGACATTCTCAAACATACTGAACCACAGACATGGTACTATGTACCAACTAAACAAAACCCAGCTGACATTATTACTAAATGTACCAATGCACAACAATTACTCCATACACCTTTATGGTTTTCAGGACCTGACTTTTTAAGGAATGATGATAAACACAGCTGGCCTCATCAACCAGGGCATCTCAGCGTATCTGACCTTCCAGAAGTCCGGTCTCAAACACATCTCACGCACAAACATGTAACTGATAACAATTCATTCATTTACAAATATTCTAATTTTAACAAACTTACACGAATCGTAGCTTACATTCTTCGGTTCATTCATTACTGCAAACACAAACAATCAAAATTAAATCAAATCAACATTAAAAAACGTCAACAGATGCGCATAGGTGACGTCATGCCCTTATCTACTAGCGAACTTAATTCAGCTAGATACCAATTAGCGAAGTTAGTGCAACTAGATTTATTTTTTGAGGAATATCAATTATTATTACATAACAAACAATTACCTACATCACATAAGTTAAATTCACTTAATCCTTTCATAGGGGATGATAACCTCATTCGTGTGGGCGGAAGGTTAGCTCAATCGCCATACAATTACGATAGAAAATTTCCTATCCTATTGCATTCAGCTCATTACATAACTCAAATCATATTCTCAACATATCACATTACACTTCTACATGCTGGCCCACAATTGTTATTGTCTCACATACGTCAAACATTCTGGCCAATTTCCGGTAGAAACTTGGCTAGAAAAACTACACAATCATGTGTTACATGCAAACGGTTTAAAGGTAAAACTGTAACACCTATCATGGGGCAATTACCTGAACAGAGATTGCATGCAAATTTTGTATTCAGTGACGTAGGTGTCGACTACGCGGGGCCAATTATGATCAACAACCGTAAGGGGCGTGGAAGTGTACTTGTTAAATCATACATCTGCATTTTCATCTGTTTTGCCGTGAAAGCTGTGCATTTGGAATTGGTTACAGATCTAACGACAGAGTCTTACATAGCGGCAATTAACAGGTTTATTTCTCGCAGAGGTAAACCAAATAATATTTATTCAGACAATGGAAAAAATCTGGTAGGTGCCGCTCGTATGGTGACCAACTTTCTTAGAAATCACGGTGAGTCAATTTACAGTTGCGCTGCAGAACAAGGTGTAAACTTTCATTTCATTCCTCCATATTCACCCCACTTCGGGGGCCTATGGGAAAGCACCGTTAAATCAGTAAAACATCATCTCAAAAGAGTACTAGGGATGGCACACCTCACATATGAAGAAATGTACACGTTGCTAGTTCAAATAGAAGGCATCCTCAACTCAAGGCCTCTCACACCTCTTTCATCCGATCCAAATGATCTCTCCGCTCTCACTCCCTTTCATTTTCTAATTGGTCGTACTCTAACTGTTCTACCTCATCCACAGATGTCCGACTGCGACACGGCACGGCTGCCGCGTCATCACCGAATCGAACTTCTACGCCAACATTTTTGGAGACGCTTTAATAAGGAATACATTTCTCAGTTGCATCAACGAACGCGCTGGCAACGCTCACGCGGCGCGCTCACAGAGGGCTCATTGGTCATCGTGAAAGATGAGGCGCTACCGGTGGCTCAGTGGCCATTGGGACGTATCGTGAAGCTGTATCCGGGACATGACGGAGAAGCTCGAGTGGCGGACATCAAAGTAAAGACCGGGACAATCAGACGTGCCTTTCATAAAATATGCCCATTACTGGATGTACCATCGGACTGATAATGAAATATCATACATCATCATCACCTGGGCTGGCCTTTCCTTGGTCGCCCGGGAATATGTTAACGCACACGTTAACACGCACGCACATGCAGACACACATGCATGCATCTCAAGCAGAGGGGAGCGGGCGGCGTGGCGGGGCAGCGACGGCTCGCGCGCCCTCCATACACACCTGACGACAACGCGAGCAAGAACGGACGGGATTGCGAATTTAACTTGTACTAATAGCCTACTCAAGAAAACCTATTAAACCAAGAAATACAGTCCACTCTTTTATTCCATCTGGGCCTATCTACACACCATGTATTCACGTCCAATTACTTGTTAATTAACTACACGACACCTGCTAATGAATATTCGTGTATCGAGGCCATTAGATGGACACAGCCAGCCAGCTCGTGTTTACATTGTTGTTAGTTTACATAGGCACTGGTATAATAGATAGTAAGGGGATATTATCATATTCCTACCTATTGATGAATAGGTAAGATCAATTACGGAACGCATGATGATGTATTGTTTAATCACGAAGTAGTCAATAATGAATGATGATTTTTTTAAAAAGAGTAACGAATCGAGTTTCTTGCTCGTTCTTCTCCATTCGAATCTACATTTTGGAATGAGCACCTAGCTTCACCTAGCTTCACTGACGGACTGACTGACAGACTTATTTATTTTGTATTTGTTGACGTTTCAAAAGTACCTTATGGTTTAATTGAAATAAATGCTTTGACTGTGACTTTGAATGTGATGTGCCTAAATTATAATTTGTAGGTAAGTTAAAGAATTCGCCTGTTTTAAGTGAAAATATTTTACTGTTGTCGTCATTTTAATTGTATTGTAACTTTCGTGAAACATACTAAGGGCCGATTTTTCCAACGCCAGTTAAATTTTAACTGATGAATGACTTTGAATATTTGACAATTCTTCCATACTAAAAACTGTCAAATGTCAATTTTATACTACAGTTAAGAAATAATTGATAATTGAAAAATCGGCCCTTAATTAATTACATATTATGTTTTTCAGCTTAATCACGTAACTGTTCGATGAGGAACTATGTAAATTAGATACGAGCCTCTATGGATGAAGACATGAATGGCTTGAAACTAATGGATTTCCTCGCCAAACAGTTACGTGAGTAAGCCGAAAAACATACTAATTAATAGCGTCGTCGTTTTTGTATATTTTATTGTCTTTATTATAATAGCACCATTTTCGTACGAAAGATATGAAAACATTAGGTAGGTAGTGAATATCTACGGTCATATTCATACATTGTAACAATACGGTCAAGCCATGCTATCATCAAAGGAAGTCTGTCTAATGTCAGGTCCAACAGTTAAGACCTAATCAAAGGATTTATATAGCAAAAGCAGACAAAGCCAGGCTTAACTTCCGTAGTATCTGACGACGGATATCATTACCAAGGATTCTTGGCTGACCACTGGCAGAATTCATACGCACAAAGCTAAAAGCTATAACCTAAAAGCTTAAAGTCTTAGTAAAGGACCTTTTTAGTAAAGAATTCCATTAATATGTAAGCAATTAGGTTCTTATTTTTTAATATTTAGTTACAACAAAAACATTTTCTGAAAAAATCAGACACACGTGTAGACATATCAGAATTGCACTTAGTTGATGCACAAACAAAAACATTAAACAATGTAACAATAATTATACTAGAGGTATAATGTAAATGTAACGACTACCTAAGTTCACTATCTCTCAGTAAAAATGGCGCTGTGTATCTGTGAGTAGTTAGAGGCCACTCCTGGGAAGTCAGTTTGCAAAGTGAAAAATGTCGACGTCAAAGGAAGCTGTAATCACATTGCACGCTCAGTTTTATTTTCCCTGGGAATCATGATTGCTCTGTTTGTGTGTTTGTGCTAACGCTCACGGTGGCTGGGAATTCGAAATACCTTTTTTGTCTGCATTCAAGATGGAATCATTATCGCTTTTTGTTTTGTTTTTTCCTGAACATGCATTTTGTTGATGTTGTTTATTTAATTAACAAAGTATGGATAACGGTCAATTGTTTTGTTTATATGCATCGTTAGTTACAAAAGTGGTTGCCATGCCGAAGATTCGGGGTTTGTGCCGGAACTAGCCGCGACCGGTGCCTATCAGTAGGTTTTGTAACTTAATATCTCTCTTCTAAGAATACGGGGCATCATATTACGATGCGTAAAAAGTATTATGCAATTGTGGACCCTATGACTATCGATATAGACAGCAAAATCGTTCCTTCCTTTCTACATACATAAATACATAACTTCACGCCAGTCTCGCACGGGGTTAGGCAGACACTAATGAACGCCAATTAGGCACTACGATTCCTACATACCTCTTTCACGTCATATATAGTCATCAATCTTTTCATGCATGCTAGTCGGTTAAGGGTACTTTTAATTTGACCCTCCTTTAATATATCGCCAATCGGTCAGTATATATCCGTCTAGGGTGCTCTCTATCTACCGACGCCCCATTCATATCCGCTCTGTATACTTCTTTCGTTACTCTACTTTTATCCATCCTTTCTACATGACCAAACCAGCGTAACATTCCCTTTTCAATCTTTGTCAATTCATCATCTTTTAATACACACCTTTCTCTAATAATGATCAACAGGCAAATTAACTTTATATTTCACCTAAACTACAACCACTAACGCTGCTAATTTATTCTTAAAACCTTACTTAAGAATTTGAACGTAACAAAATTCGTATTCAAATTCCAAAGACGAGCTCGAAACTTGGCTTCAGAGCCGAAGTTATCTTCAAAATGTTTCGGGAACCACAACTAACGCCTGGAGTTATCGAACTCGTTTGAGTCACAACTTGGGTATTGAATTCAACATCAACTATATAAGCTGACTTAGAACTTTTGAACTTCAAGTACAAACTAAAGTAGTTACGTGTCTAGGTATTTGGGTGTTAGGGATTTTAGGTCGTTCGTTGCTGGGGTAGATAAGAATTGTGGTTGTAAATTAGAAGTTATCGCATATTATGCAGGCGTATTATAGTGGCCAGGGACTGAAAGCGGTTAAGGTATAACGGTACGGTACCGGTATAAAATAAGTGTACCGAAATTAAAGCTATACCGGTATTTAACCTTTATGCGATAACGGTACCGAAAAACTTAAATTTGACCGTTGCGAGACGTAAAGCTAGGAGTGTGCGGGGTGTGGTGCGAGGGGCCCCACTCCGAGGCGTGGAGCAGCGGCAAGCGAAAAACGCGCGCCTGTGTACCTGTTTATTCGTGTCACTACTGCAACTAAACTACGCTACCGTTGTATGATTTGTGTGTACCGTACCTATCTAATAACTATATAATAGTCGTGTAACTATTAACTATGAGGCGGAAACGTAAAAATGCAGTATATGGATTGAGATATAAGTACTAATGAGTACATGCGTTTTTTTCATTTTCCAAGGAAAGTAATGTTTCTACATATTTAGTAACTGGATGCTTAGCTATAATAAAATAAGTATTGTACCCATTCATTGTAAACTTTGACCGGTCAGTGAGTATAGATGCAATATAGGTACTACTTATACAACCTATACCCTAAATGTAATTGGTAGGTATGTACATAATTATCTATCTTGTAGCTATAAGATACCTAACTATAACATTTATCTTATTATTCGGTACGTACCTATCTAAACTTTCGGATATCCTAGGTAGGTGTGTACCTAAGAACATCGTAATGTTTGTTTACTTATATTACATACCTACATAAAACCAGTCATTGGGTATCGTTCGTTAGGGTAGGTACTTACCTAAACTTTGATTATTTACTAGGTATATATAATATTATGTTCATAAGATGAATAGGATTAGGTACCTACCTTGGAATTTTAACTACAATTATTATATAATACAAATTATACAAGCCCAAACACAAGGTAGTTACTATAAACCGTTGATGAGTTCCCTTAACAATTACAGTTCTTCATCATCAGACCCTCAATGATAGTCCTACTCCATCTAGGTGTAAAGTTCTCATCAATACAAATCAATCAAGCCCAAACACAAGGTAGTTAATATAAACCGTTGAGGAGTTCCTTTGACTGTCTGTCGGCTCCATCATCAGGTCGACTCCAGACCCTTTTCAAATTGTACATACATACTTACATAACTTCACGCCTGTCTCCCACGGTGGGTTTTTTCATCACCTATCATTACCTGACATTCTGTTATCACCTCATTTCTTTCTATCACCAACACTTTCGTCTTGTTCACATTTACTTTCATACCTTTCCTTTCAAATGCATCATTCATAGCAGTGATCATTTGTTGTAATTCTTGGGCCGACGAGGCAACAAGCACTGGTCGTCGGCATACAACAATGTTTTAATCACTGTGTCATTCATCCTTAATCCAGACTCTCCTACTTTCAGGTCGTTCAAACAGCTGTCCATAAATAGGTTGAACAGCCAAAGAGATGCTACACAGCCTTGCCTAACAACTCGATTAATTTTAAACCACTCTGTGTAGTCCCCATTTATTCAGACAACGGCACTCGAGTCCTTATATAAGGATTTAAGTACCCGAATCAGGTGGCTATCCACCCCATACATGGACAGAGTTGACCACAATTCATCCCTCACCACTCTGTCATAAGCCTTTTCTAGGTCTATAAAGGCACAAAATACCTTTTGGTGCTTTGATAACACTTTCTCTGAAATGAACCGTAACGAAAAGACTTGATCCGTACATTTCTTGATCCCATTCCCTTTCGAAATCCCGCTTGCACATCCCAGATTTTACGCTCAGTTACATCCATCACTCTTTCGATCAATACCTTGGCATACAACTTTCCTACTACGCTTAGGAGGCTTATACCGCGATAATTTTTGCACTCCTGCTGTGATCCTTTTCCTTTATACAGTGGCACAATTACGGCCTTGGCCCAGACTCCAGGGACACGACCGCACCGCCAATACTTATTAAAAATTAGATACACCAGGCTTGCAATTACACCTCCACCCTCTGTTAGCATTTCAGTAGTTATCCTATCACATCCCGCTGCTTTACCTACTTTCAAACTCTTAATGGCACTCACAATTTCATCCATATTTATTTCTCCCACATTAGCACTTTCATTTTCATCGTTTACTTCCTCTTCTTTCAAATCACTCCTTTCAAATAAATTCTCGAAGTATTCCTTCCACTGCTTTAAAACATCCTTACTTTCTTCAATGACACTCATTTATATCCCTTATCGTACTTACTTTCGAGTCCCCCACTTTGCCTCTGGCCTTTCTAACTAAATGCCAGAATAGTTTAGCGTTGGCTCGAAAGTTCCGCGAAAAATTCCTTTCAAACTTTTCCTTGCATTCATTTTTCTTCTTGTTAACTACCGCTTTTGCTCTCTTTTTGAGACTAATGTACTTTTCTATCATACTTTCTAGCACTCTTCTATTTGCCTTTGAGGCTAATAAGTCGAGCCATGCTTTCTTCTTTTGCTCTATCACCTCTTTTACTTCATCATCCCACCATTCATTCCTCTTGCTTCCAGTGTTATTTTTCTTGCTTACCCCACATACTTGAGTAGCTACTGCGATCACTCCATCCTTAAATTCCTTCCAAAATTCTTCTATATTCCTTTCGTAACCTTTCATTAGCTCCCTAAACCTTTCATTTAATAGTTTCCTGTACTGGTCCCTAGCTGCCTCTTCTCTCAACCGTTCAACTCTCACTCTCTCGGTTCCAAGCAACCTTACCCGTGGCCGATGTCTCCACTTCATTGCCAGTCCAGCTATTCTAGTAATTACTAGGAAGTGGTCGCTTCCGACATTCGTGCCACGGTAAACCCTTGTATCCTTCAGTTTTGTCCTCAGGCGTTCATCAACAATCACAAAATCAATCGTACTTCTTTCTGTATGCCTCTGCCATGTATACATATGTATCTTCTTGTGACCAAATGTTGTGTTGGTCACAAAAAGTTCCTTTTCTACACATATATCCAGAAGACATACACCATTCTCGTTCACTCGTTCGTCTCCAAATCGCCCTAATACTCTATCGTACCCATCGCGTGCCACTCCAACCCATCCATTAAAATCTCCAAGCATAATTATTCTTTCATTCTCTTTACATTCATTAAGAACATCTCTCAAGTTATCCCAGAATACTTCCCTCACCCCAATTGGCTTTGAGATGTCCGGGGCATAAGCACAGACGACAAATAATTTGGTCAAGCCAATTTTAAGGCGGATCTAAAGTATCCTGGGACTCACACATTTATACTCTTTCACACATTCATTCATCCTTTCAGATAGTATGACCCCCACGCCCTGGCTGCCTCTCTGGGAACTTGCAACACCAGACCAGTAAGCAATATATTGGCCATGTGTGGTAGTCATACAACCCTTTCTTTTCGTCTCGCTCATCCCTAACAAATCAATCTTTCTTGTATTCATCATCTCACATATTTCTAACATCTTGCCTTCTACGCCTCCACACACATTCAGTGTAGCAAAAAGGCAATCCTCAGCCCGCTTTCTGCCTACTCACGGGGAGACAAAACGTGACGTGTGGCAGAGCACGTCGCCGTTGGGAATTTGCCAAGATACGACGGGGCTGCCTGAGCAATCATGCTCAGGGAGGGATTCTCCAGCGGAGCTGGTACCCTCCTGGGGTAGAGTTTAAAAATCCTAATTGAATAACAATACACATATTACACGCCCCTACAATTTTCGAAAGTTCTCCTCGGTTTTCCTAGGCTTCTATTATCAGATCCTGACCTCAATGAAAAGGACCATCTCGGGAGTATACCCTTTGAATCAAAACAAGAATTCTGGAAATCCGCGCCCGACGAGGTAGAAATAAAAAAACTTTAGGCATTTAACCAATTTTTGACAAAAATGTCGTGAAAATATATACCTATAAGGTAAAAAAAATATTATAACACACTACGTTATAATAAACTATAGTAATGAGCTATAGTGTAATAACATAAAAAGTGTAATAAAATAGTACGCACGCAGCGTCTGTGTGTGAGCGTGTCTACTGGCGTTAGATCGCCGCCGCGTGCCGTACGCGTCGACAACGAGTAGGTAAGATACTAGTACTTAGTACTCGTTACGTGTCAACTAGAAGTATGTTATTATCAGATTACATAAGTAGTAATAAGTACATATACTTACTTATTTCTGTTATTATAAGTTTTCGTGCGTTATTTGACATTGTTAATAATTGTTATCTCAATTCAACTCAGCACACCATAAAATATTATAACGCGAGCCGCATGTGATTGTGTCCAGAGAACAAGCCAAACTAATGCAATGCGATGAAATAGGATAGATGATCTAGCGCGGTCAATATCTCTCTCATACCTTTATTATTCAGGTTAGGATACTGGTACCGAAATATACCGGTTTTCATTTCATACCCAAAAATAGCGGTACCGAAATTAAATTTCGATACCGAAATTAAGCGGTAACCGTTATTTAACGGTATGACGTCATACCGCAATTTAAAGGTATCGTAATTTTTCGGTTATTCAGTCCCTGATAGTGGCAGCGACGTCTTCAAACCTTATTGTTTCCATGGGTGTTGTAAAATCCGGGTACGGGGTAAGTGACGTAAATTACAGGTACAGGATCTTTATTTAAAATCTCTCGATCGATGTAAGTTTTTAATAGAAATTCAATAGAAGTAATATTTGAGATCGGTTTTTAATTTTGGCCGTTATTATCATGAATTACAATGTCACTTAATACTTTTTTACTTATTTAACAGTATGAATATAATCTATAAGTTATCGATTACTTAAACCCAATAAGTGCTATAATATATCAGTTACCTACCCATGTAACCGCACTTAACCGTTCCTTTAGACGCGTGGGGTCCTAATGACCAATTATGTCTATTGCCAATTTCCCACCAAAGGTATTGATTACATCCTGAGGTTTAGTTTCCCACCTCACTCGTTATATGGACCCTTTAACGCCGCAATAACCGAAAAAATATAAGAACTTAGTTTTTACTGACCAAAAAATACCTAGGTATGTAGATAGGTACCAACGTCATGAAGTTTCCAAATACTATGGTGAACGATACGTACGATTTATGATTAAACTCGATTCCGGTCCGAATCAATAGAAATCTATCTTTATTTGACAAACCTATCTCTATAAAAATAAAAACACGTGTAACGACTTACGAATCTGTTAATAGAATTTTCCTTCTACTTACCTACCTATATTATGATTATCGACTAAGTTTTCCTTGACACTAAAATACATATTAACCCACCTACTCTCCGCTGATGGTCATTTCATCCATCTTTGCCTTGATCAAACGGCTTACTTCGCTAGTTCTCTCGATATGCATCGCAAGGTCAATATACACAGAGAGCTCTTATATGCATGAGACTACAATGGCCGGGCAGATCACAAAATGTTGCCGTTTTCAAGTAGTTGCAGATTTCAAGATTGTTATAAGGTTTCGAAGCTATTCTTGATATTTAAGAGGTTTAGAGCTGAAGGCTAAACTCTTTCATAGACTATACTATACAAAGGCCTTAGCACGAGTTTATTTTACATTAAAAGTAGGTAATCAAAACTAGACTGGTTGGGTTGGGTTTTTTTTAAACCGGCCAATCAGTGAACCAAACGGTGTGTCGGGTCGATTGTGCGTGCTTAGCCCTCAAGTTTAACATAATTTTTGACGAGATTTATAAACTTACTTCTTTATGAAAATCTTATTATCTCATCACATTGTAGATGCCTATGGCTACGACCAAATTGGATTGTTACAGCGACAAAAGGCTAATAAGAACATTGTACCCAAACATCACTTAATACTAAAATTAAGATCCCTTTGTAAGATTAATGTCGGAATACCCAAACGCTACTCAATTTTAAGTCGTGCTTAAGTATAGTTCTATCTCTACAAATTCTTTGTAAAATGACAGAGATGGCATGATATTTGAGCACGACTTAAAATTGAGTAACGTTTCAGTATTCCGGCAAAAGTTACTTTACTCAACCTAACTCATTGCTTTTACCTAATTAGGTAACTCATTATTTTATCATTTTCTCTGTAAAGTCTTTAGATGCATATAGCTATTAAAATTGAGAGAATGTAATGAACGGTATATAATAAAATTGACCAACCAACATAATCGCTCACGAGGCGAGTTGCCGGCTAAACGTAATCCTATTTACAATAAAAAAAAACATCCCTAAAAAGACTACACGACGAAAATAAACAAACCTTTGACCAAAATAAACTGAGAAAACTAAATATAGTTTACCTGCATGTCAGTTATTTACGTGGGTCGGTCCGATAGTACGTGACGATTGCTTCCCGCTGCCGTAGCCGAGCTATTATAGGCATACAGGAGAAATATTGCACCAATAACCGACCAGTGTTGGGAAAAGGTGGGATAATGGAACGAAATGGTTATTGTTTTATCTGTGTAGGTAGTGTGGACTGTGCACTGTGGGATGAGAAACTTAATTTTACACTAGTGATTCCAGTGTAGCTAGATAGAAATTATATCTACTAGTTGCTTGTTGCGGTGGCTGGGTAACTAGCTTTCGTGCAACGAGTATTAGGTTCGATTCCCGTTAGGAGCAACTCTTTGTGCTATCCACAAATTTGTGTTTCAGACCAGAATGTCATGTGCATATGAACTGGATGTTTGTAAACGAAAGAAAAATAACTCATAGTAAAATAAAAAAAATAAAAAACTTGTGATTGCGAAATTTGCCTAGTCAAGCTATATTTTGTGCCATACCTAAAAGATTACGTGTTTCTAATTCTAACCATAGAAAATAATATGTCTACAAGTGGTAGTAGGGTAGTAGTGATAGTAGTGGTAGTACCAAAAATAAAACAAGGATAGTTTTCGTATTATCTTCATATTAACATGAAAAACGTAACTTGTCATAAATAATAAAATTTTACAATTTCAGAATTTACAATGTCAAAGTAATGAGAGAAAATATTAACATCTCTGTTACTGAACAGAACAGAGAACTTACAAATAAATAGAGAAATAATGAAATTGATGTTACGACTCATTCAATGAACAATTCAGCCATACATTCGTCAAAGAATTAGCCTAATCTATCAGTCATTTGAACATAATTTTTATAATTTACTAAAAATTCATCAAAAATGAAATATTTTCCACACTTGATTGCATTGATTACAACGATGCATTGATACCGATCTTGACAAAATGTTCGTGAGCTTGAATTACTTACACTATTTGAATATGTATTAAAAACTTGAATTACTGCAGAAGACAACATTTAACGACACAGATTCTTATCAGATAAGTTACGTACAACTAATTACAAAGGTTAGCAACCAAGTGTGAAACCACAGATTCGTATTAACACAAAAAGAACCAAAACCAAGTAATGTTTACTACGATAAACCGCGTTTTTCTAACATAATCAAATGAGCAAAACAATTTTATAAAGCTACCTTGATTCATTATTCACTACACATAAACAGCTTTGCCAACATTCATATAAAAATTCAAGATATTCTCCGATATTTTTAGCTCTTCAAACAATGTTTGGAATCTACCCGTGTTCGAATTCGTTCGTGGAACTTTCAATATCGAGAAATACTAGAATAAATATGTCGAAAATTGGATTTTATAAGTTAATTTGCATCAGATACATCAAAGTTAGAAATCACATCAGTCTAACTGATCAGTTGGACTTCAAAAGAAACGACAAACGAGTATAGAAAAGATGAATAACTAGTTACAGAAGTTTCAAAAACTTATAACGAATATTACAAGGTAAAGACACGCCGTTCGACCCTCCTTTCAAAGCTCAACCGGTATAAATATTTGATTATATAAATATAGTTTAGATACACAGAAATGGAAGAATTACATTTACACAGCGTTGGCATCGAATACATTTATTATTTTGTAGTTAAAGTATATGCGTATAAGCTATTATTTCGAAGGTAAGAAACTATAAGGATGGATAAATAGATATTGCTTAACCCAGCTGTATTCCCATCGCACAACCGTGACAAATTATATGCAAGACATAGACAGGAATATACGCCGTCAAGTGCTAAGCAATATTTATTATTGATTATCTACATTACATACATACAGTCATACATACATTCAATGCGTTATCAAAAGCTACCTGTTTACCATCGTCTAAGAGACTCGACTCAACTTGGCAAAACTCATTCCTTTTGTCTCTGAACAATTATTTACACATACATTATCTTAGGTACAAGGAAATGAGTTCGCCATTTTATCGTTCCCAATTTACGTTTTTTCGTCCGACCGTGGATATGGTGTTACTTGTTTAATAAGCACATTGACCGACACAGCCTTTCCATATTTTAATTACCCTTCATACCGAGCCTTATTCTACCTAGGATTTCACACACGCGGTCATAACGACATTTTAAAGACGCATTTAATCATCACAAGAGATTTATTCCCAAAATATTTTACGTCAATTTATTACACCGATATTTGATTCGGTTCTACCACACATTTAGTCATACATATATAAGAAAAACAATGATTATGAATTTGATGTAAAGCAAAAAAGATATTATTACATAATATGAGTATTAAAACAGTACCAAAACGTCGTACACATAGGTACAATACTGATTCATTCAAGCAATAATTTCAATATTAATACATCCACTGTCGGACAATGTATTCCAATTAAGTTGATTTCGTAAAACACACGCATAAAAAACGGTCGTAATATCAACAACTAACTAAATTACGCTATTGTAGTTTCACTACATTCCGCTAGTTTCACAAAAATATCCATTCTGCGAGGGATTCTAGCACCTCTGTCGTTGGAAACGCGTATCGATATCTTTGGGAGATACTCGTCAAAATGTTACATTAAAATGGTATGAAAAGTTACGAGGTTAGTGACGATGTACAATGACGACTACAGGATAAATTAATTCAATAAATAGTTGAATAACACACGTCGCGTCGTCGAGTTAACAATTTGTGAACTTATTTTATGTACAATTAAATACTTAAAGCTAGACGTAGTGTCGTAATATCATAAGGTTTATGACTGGATAACTCACTGTCGGTAGTCGGTGTCGACTGAATCACAAGCGTTACTATACAACTAACAGACACTATCGCCTCATGCGTTTGTGTCTGTGGCCCTTGCGGCATTATGTGAAGTCATTAAACTGCGCCAGGGCCGTCTTCACTCTGCAACAAAACAATTAAAGTTATTGAAGAGTTTGTGGTATACTAGGACTTTTGTTTATCGTCATCAGCTCATTTCCAACGGTTGCTAGACATAAGTATTTCCCATAACACGTCACTGATCTTGTATGAATTTAACTTAGAATATTTATCCTTATGACCCTTATTATTAACACGTTTTTTTTTAGGGGGAAAAATCATCGAATGACTGTTCCCGCCTAGGTGAGGCGAGAGGGAGTGTCAGACTCTTACTGACTAAAAATCCCCCCGTTCCTTCTCCTGCGCGTCGAGCCGGAGTCGGTATCGGCCCTGTTGGGCCCCATCTGTGGTGGTCTGATGGCCCTTTGAGGCGCGCGCGGTACGCTCGGCGCCGTACGCTCGGGTCTGTTTCTGGTCGGACGGGGAGCCACCCATGCTCTATGTCCGCAGGCCCGCGCTTACGGTGGCCGGAGATCGTCCCGCGATCCCCGACGCCCGGTGTGTCCTTCGCGATGGCTGGGTTGCGAGGAGGCAGCGCTTCGCTGCCTCACGCGTCCCGCCTCCTCCTTAGCTAGCATGACTGCTTCGCAAAAGGAGGAGACGGCATCCCAGTCCCCCTCGCTCCGCATCATGACCCGCACTAGGCCCGGATGCGAGAGGTCGCCATCGCCGATCACTTCCCTGAGGGCACGGCGGTGATCAGCCCACGCAGGACATTCCGCTGCAGTGTGTTCCACCGTGTCCTCAGGGCGGTCCTCAGTGATGACACCCAGACGTTTCCTCCCGCCCCATCAGACACAGGTACCTCCCGAAACTTCCATGTCCAGTGAGTACCTGCGTCAGGCGCTAGGTGAGTATTATTAACACATTAACGGAGGATTTGCCTTTAACAGTTTTCTGTCGGCAGTCAAATGCTTAATAGATAAGTTTTAGACACATATCACAAAAGGAAACTATGGGTATTGTGTATTCTTGATTGTCTGGTAGACAATGTTTAATCAATTCTATTCTAGAAAAATTTCATACATTTGTAGGGACACAAGTACATTGGTGACGCATGTAATAACATGCAATGTAATGTATTTTATTATAGAGGTATAAGTGTGTGTGTGCCTATGTGCAGCTGCGCCTGCTATTGTAAAATTGTTTTAGTCGCAATATAGCATACATTCTATACTGTTGTTCGTGTATCATATTTATATTGTACAGTGGCACTAAGTGCCGTAATATACACCTCTATCTAACTCTTCGGGAATAAAAGACGTGATGTTATGTTATGTTATGTAAAACTTGTTTTTGACCATCACCTATCTGCGTTTTTCGGAAGTGAATCGTTTCCAGCGTGTATTGTGAATACTGCAGTACGTACTTGTCGTGCAGATGAGCGGCGTCGTGCCTTGCGCGCAGCAGTTTGAGCGCGCGCAGCACGCCGAGGTCGGCGAGGCGCGCCTGGCGAGCGGCCGCGCCCGCCTCGCCGCGCCACACCAGGTTGCCCGCCACGAACAGCGCCGCCTCCTGCAGCTTGCTCTCCGGGTGCGCCTGCGACCGCCACCACTCACTACTCCGGCTCACACACCTCACTAATACAGTACTAATCCAGTTTGCGGGCCACGTTAAGCCCTTGAATTGGCGGATTACCGAAACTTTTGATATTTTCATGCCTGGTAACATTGTTAAGCAATCGACTACCGATATAAAACATCGTAGTAACGTACTGTATTAGCGCAATGAGCACGGTAAACGGTAATCGTCATTTTGCTATGCTTACGATCATGATAAAAAAGAAAACAACCTATGTAATCTCATTATATAGAGTGGTTGGAAGATATACGTCTCTAGTTCGATATTACTGTCTTCCGATATATAAGTTAAGAACTAATATTAAGCCTTAGTCAAACAAACATATAAAATTGATCATCATCAACAGCCTATAAATGCCCACTGCTGAGCAAAGCCTCTTCTCACACGAAGAAGGTTATATAAAATTGATATTAAATAAATAAACATTATACTTATATCTAACACAGCATACACTGACAAAAGCGACACTCCCATTCATACACAAAATTCACATCTCCGTATAATGTCAATTTCAAAATACATCATAAACAAGAGAACTTTAGATTCAATATTCAATGACAATTAACATCGCGGCCCATTCGTTCGATTGAAAATACGTCATAATGCAGACAGCTTTAAGGTTGACATTTCAATGTAAATTAAAATCGCGGTTCATTCATTCGTTCCCTGGCATCGTTTACAAAGTGACATACCTTCCGTCGTCACTTGCACGGCCCACTGAATCGCTCTCGTCACGTACTCGGTGGAGGATTGTCCCCACGACAGTTTCGAGGCCTGGACCTAAGGCCAACATCCCAACATCATCAGACATTCTTGCAAAAATGAACACAAACATTCATTTTAACAGAAACGTCTCTAATTTATCGACTGTTAGAGTGGAGGGGTAAAGGCTTTGTTAAGATCTGGTGTTTTAAAAGGGTTTATGAATTTCTACTGTGGTTTACCAATCATCCTTACTTGCGTCCATCGCTTTCACACTTTGATAGATCCTATTTATTTATAATGCTCAATATTTTAAAATGTATACACTCCAGTCATACTGCTCGCAATTTAAAAATCACTCATTCATCCTTTATGCAACACATATTGGTTAGACAAGCCTAGCGAAGATATAGCAAGAAATATATACGAAATTTAATCAATTTTAATATTGTAAAATCAACAGATCAATCGCAGAAACGTGGCTTGACATTTGACTCTTAATCTGTAGAAGTAAGGTCGATATTAACTCGTTTAAAATGTCGTTTCTACTAAGCCGCCATTGATAAATCTATCGACAGGATTTAGCAAGGCAGTCATGCATGGAATAATGATTTTAATTTACATGTCAATCAAGGACATTGAACAATGGTGAATTTATAAACAACAAAACTGAGTGGTGGAATAATATATGGCAATATTTGCGGACGGTCGATAAACAAAATGTATCTTTAGTTTACTAAATAACATTTATCACAATAAAAGGCTCAACATTAACGACCTTAACATCATGGTAAATACGAGAACTACGTCCACAACATTTACTTGCTACTGAAAGAAAACTGATGACACTGTCCCTTTTTCGCAAAAAATCACAAATCGTAGACTAAGCAAAATGATGAGAAGCACATATGATAAAACTGAAAGAACAAAATAAAATGAAAATGATACCTAAAGGATGAAAAATACATGACAGATATATAAGCAATTTTCTTACCAAATAATCCACCAGTTTTCTAAGTACATCCTCGTTGGCCATGATGAGATCCTTGGCTTTCTCTCCGTCTCCGATGTTGCCAAGGATGCAAAGCGCTTGCTCCTTCACCTCGGCAGGGTAGGATCCTTCTAGCACTACTATCACAGCCTGGAAAGATGAAAAGGTATGTTTGAAGTTACGTCAGATATTTCCATTAGACGAGAAAGACAATTTGTGTGTTTGCAAGTTGGTGCTTTTAATGAAGAATTTCGTTTGTCCAAAGTGTTTAATCGACGATTTCTTTAGAAGTCTTGTAGTAGGACTGGGACTAAGAAACGTTACTGGGACCAAAAGTGGGACTGCGACTAAAATTTATATCGGAACTAAAAGTAGGGTCGGAACTGGTATTTGGACTGGTTCTCAAAAGTTTGACTGAAACTAAAAGTTGGACTATGAGTGGGACTGGGTAAGCGTGGGCCTAACAGTAAGAGTGGGATTGGGACTAGAACTATTAAAACTGGTAATCGAAACTTAGAAAGTAATTAAAAGCATAACAAAACTTAGATAGTTTATGTTGACATCTTAATATATATAAATCTCGTGTCACAATGTTTGTCCTCAATGGACTCCTAAACCACTTAACCGATTATAATAAAATTCGCACACCATGTGTAGTTCGATCCAACTTGAGAGATAGGATAGTCTATTTTTCATTAGGGTACAGTAGAATAGGGTAGAGTAGGGTTTTATTTTTTTTTAATGGGGGAAAATCATCGAATGACTGCTCCCGCCTTGGTGAGGCGGGAAGGAGTGTCAGACTCTTACTGACTAAAAACCACCCCGTTCCTTCTCCTGCACGTCGAGTCGGAGCCCCGGTTACCCGTTAGGTTCTCCGCGACAGGGTAGAGTAGGGTAGATTAGGATAGAGTAGGGTAGAGAAGGGTAGAGTAGGGTAGAGAAGGGTAGAGTAGGGTAGAGTGGGATAGAGTAGGTTAGAGTATTACGCGGTACGAAGTTCGCCGGGTCAGCTAGTTATTATGTTATATAAATGATCATCTTCATAGAGCTACCTGCATGACTTGCGAGGAGTACTCGCTCATGATGGCGTCGATGTGATGCCTGGTAGAGAGCAAGTTCCGCAGTAGTCCGAGCGTCTTCATGATGACGCGCGTGTCGCTGTCGCCCAGCAGACGGAACATCTGCTCCGTGCCCAGGCAACTTAGGATGCGTTGTTTTACTTTTTGTTCGGCCTGGGAAAACAAATAAAATCACTTTTTAATCGTTGTGTAATTGTTTTAGAACAAAAAACTTTCCTTTCGTGTCTGTCTGTATTTATAAATACAATTAACTAAAGGCTACTGGATTGTTTTACAATTTTCCCTAATAAATAGGGTAACCCGTGAAGATTTTGAGTATAATTTATTATGGTTTTGATCACGCGGGTGAAGTCGCGAGCAGAAGCCTAGAAGGTAATATATTTTTTTAATAACTATCGTGAGACATACTAAATTAAGTAAAAATCGCGGGTTACTCGATACTAGTAGAGCTTTTCTCAGTATATTATTCACGTAACCAGCGATTTTTAGTTAATTTAATACATTTTTTAATATACACTCATGTCTAAAGCATCTGAAACTTATCTTCAAACATGCTATTACAGTTAACATACATTTCGTTCTTTACCTGAAAAGCCATATTCATAAGCGCCCATATTCCATTCAGTCGCAGAGCTGCTTCGGGCATCTTCGTCAAATTACACAACATTTCTACTGCACCTGCAAAAATAACAACAAATTAAGTAGTTACGAAGGACATCACTTAATCTTGACGTAAAATACATTCGTTATTCTTATTATTACTTACATACTACAAGACAAACAATTAGTCCAAATATTTAATATGTGTGTACAATTTTAAGTGTCGGAGAGCCATGCTTCAGAAAGGGGCTGACTCGACCGGGTTGATACCACGGCCTCACAGAAAACCGACGTGAAAGACGTTGGTTACCGAAAGTACAATTACTCCTCTCCCCAATCTCCCCAATCCCAGGATCCCAGGATCCCCAACAATCCTGAAATTCCTAATCCTCAAAAGGCCGGTATCGCCTCGGGTGTTCCGGATAGGCGCCGATTGCTGACCATCAGGTGATCTGTCTGCTCGTTCACAGATTTATTCCATAAACAAACAATATTAGGTTACCATTTACTACAAACCTTGATCCAACATTGGTTCTTTAGCTGGTGAGAATTCCAGAAGTAAATTGCAAAGAGTTGATGAGCCTACAGTAAGGAGTTCAGTTCCAGGCGAGTCCCCTAACAGTTGCATTAGAGGTTTCCATACGGCATGATCCTGAAAACAAAAACGTATGAGGTACTTCTTCATTCTAATTTGAACTTTATCACTATACAAACAAGTTTTATGTTAAATTGTTACCTGAAATGTTGTTCGTAGTTGTTGCACAGATCTTGAAAGTGAGTGTAAGCACCTTACTGCTGCTAATCGTACCTGAAATATATGGAAAACATTGTCTGTTGGTAAATTTATCATACCTCGATAAAGTCAAATTATAGCATTGACTCCGGAGTCACTGCAACAATTGATATACAACCTTATTCTTAAACAATAAGAAGGTAAAACTCATACAGACATCTCTACACAATAATTTCAAAATAAAATATACCTTCTGCTTCTAAAAATAAAGAATACATTACATTAACAAGTTCAAAACAAAATAACTAACCGAAGCCTCAGGATTGTTCATTCCATTGACAACATGGACCATCAGACCGTGAGTTTCAATGATCCTCTTCCTAATGTCTTCATCATTGGCACCGAGCGACGCGAAGCATTTGAAGGCACCTTGCTTGGCGGCCGGAGACGGACAGTTGACTATCTCTGCTAGTGACGTCATCAGGTGGTTGGATATAGCCGCCAACCGTTGAAGGGATGTGTCTACCTAGAAGTATGGAAAACAGATTAGTTTTAGATTTTATCCTACTAATATAGTAAATGCACAAGTTTGTATGTTTATTTCTTTGTTTGTTTGTTACGTCACGTCAAAATGGCTGAAGATATCTAGATGAAATTTGGAACAGGGGTAGAATATGGTCTGGAATAACACATAGGCTAGTTTGTATGCTAGGGCAACGCGGGCGAAGCCGCTGACAGAAGCTAGTTTAACATAATAGTGAAAGAGGTATGTTAAAATCGTATCATGTAACTTTCTATTATCTCTGCCTACCCGTGACAGGCAGGCGTGGAGATATGTATGTTGTTCTCGCTTGTTTAGAACAAAGAATGCTTTACTCACATTTAGTGCCTTTTTACACACTCTGGTTGGTGCCGAATATACCTCGCCATCTATATTTTTTGCCCCGAATCGCTAGTACCGAACCGTGTAAAAAAGCCGTTAAAGTTGTTTTGGGCTCTTTTTCAAAACTCATTACTAAGAAAAACCTTAACCCTCTACTAATTTCCTTGTTATCAATTACATTATGATTCATTTTACAATGCCAGTTAATATTTTATTAGCAACTAAAGATAATTACTAATATTATTGACGATTAATAGTTAATGCTAGTAGGATCAATAGTTCAACAAAATGAACAGCTGCATGACCTATTGTCACAAGAGTATTAGATAAATAATTAATAGAGTAATATATGTAATTGCAAGTAACTATACTGTCTGAAATTACAAAATATTTAAACAAAATTGAAGTACCTGTAAACTAGCTAGATCTTAAGGAAGGTAAATTTAAAACATATATGAAGCGCGAATTATGTAATCAAGCTTACTACAAACTGACATTCGAATCTGCATTTTAGAATGAGCACCTAGCTTCACTGACGGACTGACTGACAGAGTATTATTTATTTTGTATTTGGTGACGTTTCAAAAGTACCAAATTATGGTTCAATTGAAATAAATGCTTTGACTTTGACTACAACAAAGCATTATAGTTTCCACTAGAGGCGCTACTGTAGCATAACTAATTAAATAATTATTGCTTATTTTTTAAACTGCCCACTACTAGGATTTTCTCTTAGACCCGTACTATATAACGATACTCAAGCGGAAGTCTTTTCTCAAGTCCAGTTAAAAAGGGATGCAAATACATTTAATGGATATGTGCATCCCTTTCCAACTATGCTTGAACTTCTCCGCTTGAGTATCATTCTTGGTCTAAAGCAAGTAATGGCAAGTAGTACAATTTTATTGTTCTCAAAGTTATTTTCTTTTTCTATCTATTTATCTGAATATTGGTGTTACATTGTTCTCACATAATTGAATCAATGATACAATGTAACCAATAATTGTATGCGAACTTGATTGAAAAAAAGTAACCTATGGAGTTTCTTGCTCGTTCTTCTCGATAGGAATCTACACTTTGGAACGAACTTCATTAGAGAACTGACATTTTAAATATTTGTTTGACATTCAAGAGTGCCTGTGCCTTTCTGATCTAATTGAAATAAATGATTTTGACTTTGACTTGTCTTTAACTATACAGTCTACTCATGAATAAGATATAGTCTACTCATGAATGAGATGTTCTTACATGAGGCAACTGTAGCATACCTCTGCTAAGTAAGCTAAGGTCTCGGCGGCCGACGCCCTGATGTCCTCCGGCATGTCCTTCGTACACAGTCGGGCGAGGCAAGGGAGAGCACCAAACACCACTCTAGAATACAAACGAATAACATCTTTAAAGCTGTGTAAATAAGGTTAACATTATACTTTTTATAAAACATGAATGGTCTATGATGTAAAGAGATATAGGGTACATGAATAACATCTTTAATGCTTTATAAATAAGGTATATTTTACTATTTTATGCATGGATGATTCATATATATGTCGAAATGTCACCCTCAAAGTGTTATGAATATAATATTAAGTATCCTATTTATCATATAGCTCCTACATATGAGTGAACCAAAATATTTTCTTGGTCTAAGTAATATACAGAGGGCTTCATACGAGTTGACTGCGCGGTTGGCGAGGTGGCTGGGTAACCAGCTGACGCGCAACGTGTAGTGGGTTCGATTCCCGCACGGAGCAACTGTTTGTGTGATCCACAAATAGTTGTTCCGGGTCTGGGTGGCATGTGTATGAGAACTTGTATGTTTGTACCCACGACACAGGAAAAAACCTAGTGTAGGGCAATAAAAAAAATAATTTTACGTTAACCGACATCGAAGCGAGACCGCGTTCGGCACTCTGATTAGCCGGCTCCAATGAACAAACCTATGAGATCGTCGACTATGGTCTGTTTTCGTTGAACGTTAAACAAAATCGTACTAAGCCCTCTGATCTATTGATGGTCTTAACTCGTCGAGTACCGTCATTATAGACACAATTATAGAACAATAGGTTGCGGTCACCGGTGACCGCTTGGTGTTTGACAGTTTAACTCGCCAAGTACCGTCATTAAAGACACAATTATAGAACAATAGGTTGCGGTCACCGGTGACCGCTTGGTGTTTGACAGTTAATTTAATTTAAAAACTATTTTTATTTTCAGGTTACAAGTTTTGTCCAAAGTGTCCTTTATTAGTATCAAAATATGAAAAGCCAAGAAGTCTAGACTCTAGACTACACTTATATTGATGTACAAGACACATTTGTTTGGTGCTGATAGCAATCTGACATTGACCTGCGAGCTGATACCTATCAAAGTTTATACAAACATGACACTTACATAACAAAATGTTGAATACCTACACACAAAGTAAATAGAGATACTTCTGCACAGAAGATTCAGTTAATTTTATAGCGACCATATTAACTTTTTTTAGATGACTGGTTGATGGTACTATCATCTTTTAATGTGAATATGCAAACGCTCCCGTCATTGAAATGATGGAAGAAATAATCTATATATATAAAAATGAAACCCGTTTCCCGTTGTCACGCCATAACTAGAGAACGTAATTTTTGTTTTTGTTGTTTTTATTATTGTCAGGAGAAGGTTCTTATGACAGAAAATGTCCTAAAAATTCTACGGGAAGTGGAGAAAACGGGATTGCCCGCACGAAGTCGCGGGCAGAAGCTAGTTAGTGTATAAAAATTCTAAAACCATTAGCTTGGTTATTATTATACTTGTTCTGATTAATTAACAAACCTGTGGTACAGAATGAATTAGTAAATATTTTGCTTTTAGTATTATTACAAATTAATGCTACATGATTGAGATGTTACTATTAATCCCACATAATAGGTTCTCAAAATTCATTGCTTTTTTCAATGCCCAACAACAACCAATAACACCATAGAATCTGAAATTGTACTCATTGTGTGGCAGACATACGGTCTATGATAATACAATAACTATACATACCGAGTGTCGTCAGCAGGTATGGCATTAGCGCGATGCATGAATGTAAGACACCGCGCCGCCCCCATCGCCACCGGCAGCGGCTTGTCGCGACACACCAACGTAGACAGCAGCTCTGGTATCGTCTTGTCCCCGTGCCTTTAAACAAAAATGATCTTTATAAACTATTACACGATACGTTAAAAACAAAATCACAAATACTAACCAAGGATGTCCTAAGAACCGACTTGAAAGCTACACATTTGACATAAACCGGTCGTAACACTCACCGATAGATATAAACTTTTTAAACGATCTCCAGCCGCCTGTCTGTCATGGAAATTATGGTATTACAGAAGGCTTTTTTTTTTTTTTTAAGGGGGGAAAATCATCGAATGACTGCCCCCGCCTGGGTGAGGCGGGAGGGAGTGTCAGACTCTTACTGACTAAAAACCACCCCGTTCCTTCTCCTGCACGTCGAGCCGGAGCCCCGGTTACCCGTTAGGTTCTCCGCGACTCCGAATCGGCATCGGCCCTATTGGGCCCCATCTGTGGTGGTCTGATGGCTCTTTGAGGCGCGCGCGGAACGCGACGCGCCGTACGCTCGGGTCTGTTTCTGGTCGGACGGGGAGCCACCCATGCTCGCCGTCCGCAGGCCCGCGCTTACGGTGGCCGGAGATCGTCCCGCGATCCCCGACGCCCGGTGTGTCCTTCGCGATGGCTGGGTTGCGAGGAGGCAGCGCTTCGCTGCCTCACGCGTCCCGCCTCCTCCTTAGCTAGCATGACTGCTTCGCAAAAGGAGGAGACGGCATCCCAGTCCCCCTCGCTCCGCATCATGGCCCGCACTAGGCCCGGACGCGAGAGGTCGCCATCGCCGATCACTTCCCTGAGGACACGGCGGTGCTCAGCCCACGAAGGGCATTCTCCCACTGTGTGTTCCACCGTGTCCTCAGGGCGGTCCTCGCAGTCATAACACCCGGACGTTTCCTCCCGCCCCATCAGACACAGGTACCTCCCGAAACTTCCATGTCCGGTGAGGACCTGCGTCAGGCGGTAGGTGAGGACGCCGTAGCGTCTCTCAAGCCACTCCTCAAAGAGGGGACTTACCGCTGCGATGGCAGCGAGCCCAATTACAGAAGGCTAACAGTCCAGCATTGAACTGTCAATGGGTGTATTTATAACTCCCGATACATTATCTTAAGTTTAGTTTAACCAGCATTGATATGACATGATTTTATATAATAATTACTACTATTTTTTATTGTTTATTTATCTATGTATTTTGTATTATTATAGTAACGGGCTAGTGCTGAAAATCAGCGCCGCGACTCGAGTTACCAGTCTTGGGTCACGGTATTTCAGCTGAGCACTTGGCCTTTTTGCGCCGTGCAAACTTTTACCATTTTTATTGTATTACTATTCTTCATGTTTTTTATTTGTTACGGTGCGAATAAACAATTTATCTTTCTTTCTTTTAATGATAGTGTTCCGTATTATTATACTTTTGGTTGGATTAAATCAGTCCATTTTACCCCTCACCACTTCCACCACAAATCGCGTATAAGATCTGAAATTCACATAATAATTTATACAATGTATATTCTCATGCCAATCGCTCCCATTTGTTATTTAAATACCTTCCCTTTCTTGGCAACTGACAATGAACTTTGTCAAAGTCGAATCAATGACAAAACGGTCCTATGCAAAAATGTAACAATCAAAGATTAGTTTTTCATCTTAATATTCCGTAAACAGTAACAAATTTATGCTTTGACTGAAAGAGTTTATATTACATTTAGCTACTGTCTGTCCCTACATTGTATACTCAGATCTTTAAGCATAGAACTGGCTGACAAAAGGCTGAACTTGATGGACTTTATCTTCTCTAGATAGACTTGATGGATTCAAATAAATGAAA